CCTTCAATGAGTCTATAGTCTCATTCACAACACCCTTCAGCAATGGCTCCCTCATCATATACATGTTAGGCGGTAGGTAGGGCTGAGCACGGTTCGGTTCGGTTTTTAACAAAATTTGAACAACCGAACCGAATCGTTGCAAGTCGGTTCGGTTCGGTTTGTTCGGTTCTAACTTCATCAAACTTCTTATCAAACAATGTTAAAGAAAAAAAAGATATTAGCTTGCAGGTTTAAGTTCTGTCGTGATAATTATATTGAAAGGGAAACTGGTTTATAGTAAATGACCTGCATCCCATGCTCGATATTTTCCTATTTGCAGTTTGATAACAGGGTGACAGACTAATAATAATGGCAGCATTCATCTATATAACAAAATAAGAATTAACTGCCGTTTTGTTGAACTTGCAAATGGCGCAAAATACTGGAATAAAAGCTGACAGAAGAGAGATGATAATTGGACAAAATTTACACACCATTTGTAAAATCTTCAGATCTGGGCTACAGCATGAGTAACTATCAAGTTACAATCTAAATGTTGTTTCTTCGCATCATAAGAGCTAAAAACAAGCAGTTGCAATGTGCTCAGATTAGAATATCATCCAGGACAGGGATGATTCCTTGTCCATGCTACCAGCAGGCATGTTGTCGTCACCTGTAGGAAAGAGAAAGAGAAAGAGAAGGTAAGGTTCTGAAGAGGGAATGCTCTAATCTAGGAAGAAGCGAAGTGATCCAGAGAAACAACAACTTGGATATGATATTTATTCAAAAAACATGAAAGCAAACTACTAGATGCCCAAGTTTGGATCATGGACCATTGGACATCACCTTTCCAAAGGATCTTCAAAGATGTAGCAATCTGACAAGGATCACCGCTCTTTTAAAAATTAATTCCACTAGAGAACTAGTTCATAAATGCCCAAGTTGCAATGACCCCCATCAACTTTGCTCACCCATAATCATCATCAATAATTCATAAGGCTCTCAAGCAGGTAAGCTGAGGATTGGCATCTTGAAGCAAGTTGTTTTGTAAAGAGAAGCAGCTACTAGAGAACCAGGATGCTACCTGAAATCTCAAAGCTCCTCGTCTCCTCGCTGCTCTCCCTCCTGCTGGTTCACGACACCGAATCAAAAGGCACCGACGAAGACACATTGCTCGCCTTTAAGGCTCAAGTCTCCAACGACCCTTCAAGCTCTCTTCGCTCGTGGAGCCCGTCCAACTCCACTCCCCCATTTCTGCAGCTGGACCGACGTTCTCTGCGGCAACCGCTAACACCCGACTCGAGTACCTGAGTTGTCCTTGCCTCAGATGAACCTGACGGGCTTAATATCACTAGACTTAGCAAACCTCACCTACCTCCGAATCCTAGACCATTAAAAAAAATCCTAGATCATTTCCTCAAATTCTTTGGCCCTGCACCGGTGCGGGAGCGCTATGGAGTGCAGAGAAGAGCTGCCGGCTGGCGGATTTGAGGAAATGATCTAGGATGCTGGTTTGAGGAAGTGCGGATTTGAGGAGATGATCAGATCTAGAACGTTGATTTAAGGAGCTGGCGGCTGGGCTGCGGGCTTGGAGTTTAGTAGTGAACGGGTATAAGTGAGGCGGTCGGTTCGGTTACTTTGGGTTGAAATTTTTTTAACCCGGCCCGAACCGATCTACAAATAAAACTGACCCGAACCATTGATTTTCGGTCAGTTCGGTCGGTTTTTTCGGTTTGGACCGAACTATGCTCAGCCCTAGCGGTAGGTAGGTATGTACATAATCCCTAGTAGCACTGCACATCCTCATAAAGGAGTCGGTGGTGATGGCATGAAAAAGAATGTCATTCTCATATGCACTCTAGCCATATGCTTGTGGACTCAATCTCTCTTCTTCTTCGTATAAGCTTCTCTCTCCGGGCTGAAAAATCTTCCCCTACCATCTCTTCGCTAGCTCAGGATCACTAGCAGTATAAACATTCATTGACCCAATGATCGGCTTTCTAGACCTCTTTGAAGATCCCTAGTTGTAGGAGTAGAAGAGACAATGTCTTCTTCTTTAATCACTGTCGCATCCGGCCGGTCGAATTGTGCTTCATCTTGCAACTCCATGATATACGTCTCCTTAATTTTCTTCTTCTTAGAATTGGCAGCCAATGCTTCTTGCATCTTCTTCCTATCATCAACCAAAATCTTGGTATACATTATGCAACAGTTTTCTTAGCGGGCAAGATATAACTTTAATCTATAGACCCCTCACACCTTTCATCTTGTGCGACCACAATCTACATTACACCAAACATAAATCTGTTGGATTAGGAAGAAACCCAAACTCCGAATCGATGTCTCCCGAGTTTCTTTAACCTTTCGCTGGGGCTTTCAGGGGGCAGAGGTATAACCCGCTAACTCCTTAGGAGGAACATCGGCATTCTTCATCACAATAAACAAATCATCCATAGTTTAAAATTATCAAATCATGACAAAGAGAAGATTCAAACAAATCACATAACTTTAATGAACTAGCTAACAGTGAATTAAAAGGCAACCTAAACTAATCAATAAACTAGCTAACAGTGAATAAATTGTGAATTAAAACAATAATTGAACTAAATGTGAACAAAATTAACGAATTATAAATTGTTAGGTTTTTAAACAAAAACTGCGAATTAAGCAAAATTAACTAAATACAAAATTAACTAAAATTGAACAAAAATAGTGAATAAAATAAAAAATGGTGGGAAAATATCAAAAAATTAAAAAATACCTTCAATGGAGAGAGAAGAGGGGAGGCTCACCAGAGGTGGCTGGAGAGGGAGAGGTGAAGGGGTTGCTAGGGTTTTTGAGGATATCAGAGAGGGAGAGATGATGGGAGGAAGAGCACCGGAGGGTGGGATTGGAGAGGGAAGAGTGCTAGAGGTGGGATTGGGGTGGGAGGAGCGCCAGAGTGCGAGGGAAAGATGCGGAATGGAGCGCCGCATAGGTTTTTTTGAGGCAGAGAACAGAGGATAAAGAGAGATTGGGGGGTCTGGGGGGGGGGGGGTGGGAGGGTCGGGTTTGTTTATGTAGCTTTTAGGGGGAGGGAGTCGGGTTTAAGAGTACGATTCCCGTCGGGTTTTAGACATTTAGGTTTTCTTAAGGTAGGCAGTCAACCTGATTGAGCCTCCTAGCTCTAGGCATTGCCTAGGTGGTGCGCCGCGTAGATTGGTTGCTCCGGCCTATTTTCGGAGGCTGAAGGGCTGCCTAAAAAGCTTTTCAGAACACTACAACTTTTTTGTCAACTTGATGAAATTTTGATGAGGTTATATATAAACAGAATGTATTCATGTTTCTTTTCCTCTTCCATGTGTGTCTTGATGCATCTATATTATGGTGAGCAAGGTAAATCATTTATCAAAGATCATGATGCCTTAAGGCATCCCTGATATTTCAGTCACAAAAGCTTCATATGGATAAATCACCATTAGAACTTTTTCCAATTGATCCACCACTCGGAATTTTAGTACTATTAAATGTTATCTAATGCTGTGGATGATTGTTATATCTTTTTTATTCTGATTCAAAATATTAGCTCCAGAGCTTCGGATTTTTTTAGCATTGTCCACTGCTTTACATGCATCCTATGTTTGATGTTGTGAACGTTCAACGTATTTCAGGGTTATATAACACCTTAAATTGGTTATAGCTCGATTTCCAAACAAATTTTAACAATTCCTATATATATAATGCATGAGAAACATGCTCTCGTACAATCTATTTTAGCCACATGAATAACACAAAAGATATGATACAGCACCACAACCAATGTGCTGCAGATTATAATGAAAACATCTTTCTATAAGAACCAGATTAAAAAGATAATGACTGTATGCAGATTAGGAGGGGGAAAAAATGAATGAAAGAACAGCTTAATCATACACATTACTCACATTACCTTCAAACATATATCCATGATAAGAACACCGGCATTTCTTCAACTTACCAGGATAATCAAATCCTTACATAAAACTAAGCTTCTATAAGCTTGATCTATAAACTAAAATAGTATTTTCCACATACTTCAAAGAAGCTATAAAATTATATATTATCTATAATTGCAAATAATTGCAAATAATTGCAAATAATTGCAAAACACAATTAAGCTAATAGATCAAACTGATTTCTTCCAATTCTGCAAAAGAAAAAAAAAGCAACTAACCTTTAAACCCCGCTCAAATATTAACCGATCTGTCACATAATAAATCAACAACACAATTCCAAATAAACTTCTGATAGCATATATTGTGCCTTTAAACAACCAGCAAATATCGCTCCTTTACCATCGCATCTTCATTAAACCATAAATCCTGGATTCATCTAAAATCTCTCCAAACTAACGACACGATCAATTTGCTCTCTTAAAAAAAACACAACCGATCATAAACTCCACAGATTCAAGTCACAGCACAAGAGTAAAAGAGATACCTCGGCAGAGCATCCAGCATTCGAACTTTCACGAGATAGAAGCCCTAATGTGAGCGCATGGAGGAGAGACGAGGGCTAAATCCAACGATTCCAGGCTGAAATCGAAGCCCTTGGAGCGCTGAACCCGGATCCAACGGCAGTGGACGACGATGGGGAAAAGAGGAGGAGGAGGAGGAGCGGCTATGGCCATGGCGATGGGAGTTTGGGTGTCCTAACGCATGCGGGAATTTTGGGAGAGCAGCGAGATATGGGAGGGGGAACTCGGCGATGGATTTTGATTCGAGAGGGAGTTTATCTGAAGTTAGCCCATTAAGAAGCCCATAAAACGACGAGCCCCACGCGCCCTCTACAAAAGCGAAGCACAAGAAGTATTGTTGGGCCAAAACTGTATTAACAATCCGCCGCATTAACTGCAAAAGCGTCAAAATTGGAAACCTGGGCTTTTGTCAAAACTCGCAATGGGCCCAATACTACTATGAGCAGCTCCACCAATATTGGATCCAAATAAAAACACCACCGTCTACTGCTGCAGCCAGCTTTACCCACAGCGTCCAGGTGCTAGAGAATAATTAAAGCTGCAATCCAAGGAGAAAAAACAAAAAATAGAGTGACTCACGCTCATGGAGAGAGAGAGAGATGACAGTACTATGCGTCACTTTTTCAGCTGTGGCGTGAAAATAAGTGGGCTTAATTGCACTTAAATACCCCATAGGTTCCCTATGTTGCCTTTATATACCCGAAAAATTATTTAAGGACCCAAAATATGGGAGCAAATAGGGGGGACAAGTAAGTTGTCCCCCTTCTATTGGATAATGAGTTGGCCATCATAAGTTGTCCCCCTTCTATTGGATAATGAGTTGGCCATCATTAATGATGGTCAACTCATTATCCAATAGGAGGGGGACACCTCACTTGTCCCCTCTATTGGTCACATATGTGTTTGTCAGCACTTATGTACTCTAAAATTTTTACAACTTTCGCTCATACACTATTTCCTTGGTAGTACTTAATAGTTTTCACATATTTAAATGTTTCCAAACTGCACTTATACTATGTTTGGATGGAGGGTAATGTGGGGTAGGGGAAGAGAAAATGAGAGTTGTCATGTTTGGGAGTTTTTTTAAGAGCGGTAAATAGTTCAATTTTGTTCTCCTCCAAATTGAGAGGTAGAGAAGGGGAAGGGAAGTAAAGTAAAATTTCATAATGAAAGGCACATCTTGACTCTACATAATGAATTAATGGTTAAGATTCATTTACTTCCCTCCCCTTTCCATAATTAGAACTCTCAAACAAAATAATTTAAGTTCACCTATATTCCCCTTACAAAACTTCCAAACAAGATATTATATTTCCCTCCCCTTCCTTGCCTTTTCTTTCCTTATCTTACATTTTCTTTCCTTCTTTTAGTGAACTCCCAAACATAACATTAAAGAGTTAGGACTCTTTTTAAACTTCTCACATATTCATATGTCAACCACGTTCGTCGATCAAGCAATATATTTGCTCACAACATAGCTCATTTTTCTTGCATACGTTCTCCAATAGTGGAGATGATCAAGACCATTTATGTTCTCAATTTATTCTTAAAGCTATATAATAGAATTGTTTATGTCAAAAAGTTAATTTGCAAGTAGGGTGATATTAAGAGAAGATTAGGGGTCCTTGATCTCCTTTGATAGTTGATAAAATATGAGACACAAATCCCTACATGAGTAGCGAACGCTAAAGGCCCTAGAGGGAATTCCCCTCATGCTCAAGTCAATGATTGATAAATTCAATATGAAGAGAAGTGCATATTATGGATTAGGGTTTAGATCATTCAGACCTTGGAATGTTGGAGATAATATCACATTTATAGGGGAGTGTGGGGCAAACTAATAATCCAACTCAATCGATAGAGCTGACGTTTTTACTTATGCTTTATACGTGTTGTCCATTGACTAGGGAAATCTTCGGTAGCCGTTCTCATCGCACTTAATGTGATAGTGACAGGACGACAGAGTATGCGACGTCCAAGGAGTCATCATGACGTGCATTTAATGCAATGGCCATAAGATGGAAGATTATGAATGTTATTCAAGAAGTCACCATAACGTCCGACCATGCATTTAATGCAAGAAGTGTTGTCAAGAATGATGGTCGTCCCTTTCTTTGTCTTGAGACTAGCTTTCTTTTGTGGAGTGGTTGAGTCTGGCCTAAATATGCCTTTTGACTCGACTGGACTATCGGTTAAGGTCCGCTTGTTTGGTGGGACTGTGTCTATTCTCGGGTCAAACTTTTAGGTCACATGATCTAATTCATTCGATTGACATATGTTCTGCTCTCAAGGCTTATCAAACTTGTGATTTAAAGGGTACAACATATATATGAGAATCCTAAAAAAAAAAGCGAGGATCCATAAATGCGAAGTGGGGAAAACTATAAGGTGTTTAAGCGCAACTAAGCCAATAAATGGAGCAGTCGACTCGTCTCCATCTCACTGATGTACGAGTGGCAACCAGGGATGTGACCGTACCCGAGCTAGCTATGCGTAGGTTTTGGGCCCTCTGGGCTTTTGGCTTGATCTCTGCGCGGTGTTGGGACTCACCCGGTAAGGAACAGAAGATTTTGCTTGTGGTCCTCCGCCGCCTATTTGGATTGCAGCTAGTTAGTTAGTGGTCCATGCAGAGACATTGATCCTAGCTAGAAGGTTTTTGGGACTGAATGTTGGTTAGTTATTTAGTGGTCGCCCACATTAGGATCCGCGAAAAGGGAGGATGCATTGGACCACAAAAGTGCACTTTATCTCTGACTCTCTGTGATTTAAGTTAAAGCATGTTTTGACAGGGATTTGTAGTTCTGAGATCAGGCCCTTTTTTTTATTTTATTTGCAGACTCTTTAAAAAGTATGAATCAAGTGGCTTTCTTATATTTGTAATTTGTCGCTCAAATCTATTCTATTTTTAAATTGGTGACCCAAATCCCATCTATTCTAAATAAGTCCTCCGAACCTATATATTCTCTCGTATAAGTCCCTACAGGTAAAACATTTTAAACTCCGTTAATCTTGACTTCCCTAGATATTTTATGCTTAATATCTGCATCGGGTGCAACAGTGATTTCTCAATAGACAACAAGCATGTGAACGGAGAGAGGAGAGTAAGAAGGGGAAGGATCAAAGCACCAAGAGATATTATAGCCATAGGTCAAGTTTCTCAGAACTCTTGGGGAATTTTAGTCCCCGGACTCGCGTATTGTGATCTTCGTAACTCGGAAGCTAACCCACAATCAATAAGATAGAAAACAATCGCAATCAAGAAGAAAGAACACCGAGATTTACGTGGTTCGGTCGACTAACTTCGACCTACGTCTGACATACGTCCACGGGGCAATAATACGAAAAATTCACTATGTATTAGGGAGAACTACAAGATGAACCACTCAACTCCCGTCTCTCAATCTTTTAACCTCACATACATAATCAACTCTCATATTCTCTCCAAAACCCTCTCTTTACAATCTTTTGAACGGACAAAGACTGCGAAACCCTCTCCCAATATTATAATCTTTTGTACGGATAAATACCATGAAACCCTCACATTGCATAATATTCTTGAATCAGGCTACGTCATCTCCTAACCCTAGATTATAAGAATATTGGCTCTCTCCATTCTCCTTGGTTTTTCCTCCAACAATTGAAGAATATATATAGAAAAACCAAAAATCTTATCTCTAGCCTAACTTCCTAATTAGAATATGATTCAAATTCCTAATCATGATAAGACTCAATCTCATAATCATGATAGATCTCTAACGCTATCTAATTCTCAAAAAAATATACAAAGAATCAAAGACATAATCCAAAAAATCTCCATCTTGGATTTGATTCCAAACTCCCTAGAAGATATATTATCGTTGTCTTGAAACTTTGCCTCTCCTGCTAGCGTCTTCTATTCTTTTACACTTCAAATCGAAGCAATCACACTCATAATAAGAACACCTGCACTCTAACTGGGATGTCTCGTGACCTTCGCTATCGTCTGCCTTGTCGTGGCGCCTCCACCTCTCTTGTGTACCAAAAGATCTTCGCCACCTCTAACATCAGAAGAAAATTAACCATGCTTATCCTCCCAACTTGAGCCTGATAATAGCCTTCCCTAGCTTGTTGTTCTTGTGCTCCAACTGCATCGCTCGTCTCAAACTATATCGGTGCACCTCTCCTACTCCACACTACGAGCCGGATGCCGCTATCTCCTCTATCACTTGGCTTGGACCGAATATAAGCGCTCATCATCTTCAAGTCCAATGTCACCATCTTTATCAGCATGTGTGTCACTCAGTTATTCCTGCTTGCAAGCTTCACATAATCTGACACTATTTACCTCGAGTCTACACACCAACCAACTCCTGCTCTCGTAATAACTCTGGATAGTTATATGGTGACAACTCTACTTCTAGAATCATGTCTAATTCTCTACACCAGTCTTATCCGTCGCATACTCGTTTGCCCTATATGTCATCAGATCTATCTTGGTACCATCATCAGAACTTATCAGCACTTTCTGATCAATCTGAACATAATCTAAAAAGATTAGACCCTTCCATCACACTCAGAGCACTCCAAAACCTACAAATCAACTCATGGAACACCAAAATCTGCCTCCAAACTCTCGATCAGAAGACAACTTAATCTTCCTTTTTTTCTTCATCTTGATTCTTATAACGCCGCCGATCTTCACCTTAGTACGATATCTATGTAGGAAATAGAAGTTACCTTTATACAAGAGAGCTTAAGCGTCGCCTGTTTGAGTACGCTTGCGTGCTCAAAGCAAGCAAAAGCTCGCCTGATGGCTTGACTTGCTAGCACAAGTCAAAGCTCGACTGCATTGAAGAGGCCAAGCCAAGCTCACCTATTTTTTTAGCTCGCCTGCTCGAGCCAAACCTCGCCTATTTGTTTGTCTCGCCCACACATGCCAAACCTCACCAACCGCGCATGTTTGCTTGACTCGCCAGCACGAGTTAAGCTCGCCTGATTATCGAGCTCGCCAGCACGAACTCGACCTCGCCTGAACGCCTTGCTCGTCCGCACGAGTCAAGCCCATCTGCAATGAGTTCGCCAACACAAACTCAGCTTATCAACAAACGCCAGCTCACACGCTCGAGGGGCCGGCCAGCCGACCCCGCCTGTTCGCCAAGCTCACCTGCAAGCTCACATGCAAGCTCGCCTAAACTGTTTGTTGGAAAATTTGTAATAAGAAAAAAAAAATGAAAGAATTGAATTTGATTTATTCTT